AAGGGCCAAACCATCACGCAGGCCAATCATACTCTGCAGCTATTCCATAGGGCAGCGATTCATGCCCAAGAGAGTGTTTTCTTTTTGTTCATCGATGTACAAAATGCATTCTACCGCCTGATTCGACAACATTTTACGACTACGGCCAATGATGCGCGCTCTGCTGAACAACTCTTCCAGCAACTACGACTACCACGTTCTGCCCTCAGTGAGTTCATCGATCTTCTCAACAGACCGCCAGCGCTAGAAACTTCGGATGCCTCGCCATTTTTACGCAGCATCTTTGCAGAATTCTATCGAGCGACCTGGTTTACTGTTGATGGATCGTCCACAGTCACAGCCACCAGGCGAGGTAGCAGACCTGGAGATTCCTTTGCAGATGTTTGTTTTGGATTCACTCTGGCCAAGATTATGAAGGAAGTTGAAGAGACATTGTCAGAGAGATTCCCATGCTTGGCTATTTCGTGGAGCGGCAAATTGTCGCCATTCCCATCTGTTGTGCCTGGGGGTGAACTCGGACCACTCATGCCGGTGTGGGCCGATGATATCGCTCTAGCGGCCAAGCATCGCCAAGCAAGTACGCTCTTGGAGTTGTTACCCGATATTACAACGGTTGCGCTGGATAGGCTTGCCCTTGCTGGACTACAACCAAATATGCAACAGGGAAAAACCGAAGTTATGGTAGACTTCCGTGGGCCGGGCAGTGTGGCAGTCCGAAGGACTATTGCTGCGCAAGATCACCTGATTCAGCTGCCGACGGATCGGATCACTGAGCCGTTGAGACTTGTTGGAACATATAAACATCTAGGCACAGTACTTCAAAGAGGAGCAGCACTGGCCAAAGATGTACAGATAAAGTTTGCATGCGCCCACGATGTTTTCACTAGATATAGACCGCAACTGTTCGGCAACCGCCAGATGAAATTGACGATCAAAGTCCAATTCTTTCATTCTCTGATTCTCAGCACTATTATTTTCAACAGTGCTACATGGCTGCCGCAGACGAAGAAGCAGCAAAACCAAGTCCACAATGGATTCCAGAAGCTGTATAAACGACTAGCTGTAGCTCATTTTGGCAGAGAAGCAATCGAATGGACAACCATGAAGGTATTGGCAGAATTGTCACTTCCAGATCCAGATGTCTTACTACGGAATGCAAGGCTACGATACTGGATGCAAGTGGTCCGAACAGGCCAAGCCCATTTTTGGGCGATGATCCAGACTGAACAGCGATGGTTTGCCCAACTACAAGATGATTTTCGATGGCTACAAACGAGATGCCCGGAGGAAACCATCCCGCAACTTTACCCAGAAACTTGGGATGAGATCTGTGCATGGGCATTCCAAGCAGTAAGACATTGGAAATCGGTGGTGCACAGAGCTGTTTGTCGAGCGATTGCACAACAAAAACGACAATATCAATGGGAGAACTGGCACAAACAAGCCCTTGAAGATCTGATTGACCACCAGATGATCCCTACTGAGCTTGTGCCATGTGAAACTGATAGATATTATTGCTTGGGCTGTCGTGTCACATTCCAGGGGCCAGCAGCGCTGGCAGTTCATGGCTTCAAAAAGCATGCACGACTGAATGTTGCTCGTTATTTCGTGCAAGGACTTCGATGTGAAGCTTGTCTCAAAGTCTATGCTAGTGAATTGCATACGATCAACCATGTCAAACGAAATACTAAATGTTTGCAATTCTACAAGGGGAAACCCCTCCTACAGCAAATCGGTCCTGGAGTCAATAGTCGTGCTGTCAACCAAGCTTGGGAGGCACTACCTGACCCGGTTTTTGTTGGAGAGGGACCTAAAGAATTGATTCCTGCTGATATTGATGACTGGGAACCCGCGGTTCAGCCTGAAGTTGACCGTCTCCACCAAGCCTGGAATAGTGCTCCGCTTACACTTGTAGGGTTGAAAGAGGCCACGCAATCGACGTGGTTATATCCCGATGAGCTGCGTCGAGCATACCAAGCCTGGCAGACCCAAACAGAGACGAATGAAAGCCTGACTCTTAAGGAGCTTCAGACTTTGACTTTGTTTGGGTCAAAGCTTAGTTATCATTGGCTGACGGACCAGTTAACCTCCGAGAAACCTCAGACGACTGAGGCGATGAGATTCTTTCAGAAGCATGCAGAATCGTGTGAAGCTTTTGCCTACCAGATCCACCGACAGCCGCGCTATAAACCAGGGGTTTTTGCGCATTTGTTTTCAGGACATCGCAGGCAAGATGACTTTCAGAGCTGCACTGAAAAAGCCCATTCAATTGCCATATCGATTGATATTATCTTTCACATTGAATTAGGTGATATGGCTAGGCCGCAGACATTTGCTCTGATTGCCCGGGCAATGAAAGAAGGCATCATCTTGGGGTGGCTCGCAGGACCACCCTGTGAAACTTGGAGCAAAGCACGTGGACAGATTCTCGAGGATGGCAGACCAGGCCCACGTGTGTTGCGCAGCCTTGCTGAGCCACACGGCATGTCGTTCTTAAATAAACGGGAAGACGAGCAAACCACTACTGGTAGTTTGCTCCTAGGGGTCGCGGCCCGCCTGCTAATAGTTGCCTTGCGGACCGGATGCAGTGCCATTCTCGAACATCCGGGAGAGGATGAAAATACCTGGAATTCAGTGTCCATCTGGCGATTGGCCTTTTTCCGGTTTCTCCTCAAATTCCCTAGATGTCGTAAAGTGCGAGTACTCCAAGGTCATTATGGGGCTTATGCAGTTAAGCCTACTGACTTTCTACTAGTGAACATCTCCCCGACAGCTGAAGAACGGCTTGTCAAGGGACGCACGACAGCCCTTCCGAAGTTTGCGGCGATTGGCTTGGGTGAAGACAAGCAATGGCGGACAACACGCCTAAAAGAGTACCCCAGGGCTCTTTGTCACACGCTTGCAGAAATATCCCTCGCCAGTCAGCCCATTCCAGCAAACGGATTACCCATTCCTACTTGGTTCACTGAGATCACTCATGCTCTGTGTGCCGAGTTTGATGTTGACGCTGCTATGGGTAAAGACTTTTGCGATAAAGGAAGGGGCCCACATAATTAGAATGCATGGCGATCACCGGCAATTTGCCTTCGATGTGCGCAAGAGGAAAGAGGCTTGGATCAAGTGACTTGTCGGTTTGATCCATAGGGCTTGGATCAGCGCTCTGATCCATAGGGTTTGGATCACACTCACTGCAGCGCGGAACGATCCATACCAGGAGGGTTTCTGGCCACGCCCATTTATTTGACCGAGAGGCGCGGTTCAGCGGCAGCGTTTGTATAGAAAGAAATACAAACCTGCGCCATTGTGTTTTGCAATCAGGTTCGTCGATTCAAGGAAGAACTCAGGAAAGAGGCCTGGAGTGAATAAAGAACGACGACCCAGCATTTGGTGTCAATCAGGCGCAGGTAACCTGACGACCCAGCTCAACAGTCATGGAACTGCTTCGCCTCATGGTAGTTTCGGGCAAATACACGCTCATGTATCTCACCGTAGAGGCGCGGCTCAGTGGCAGCGTTTGCAGAGTTCGTAACATTTGCAAACCTCAGGGAAAGGAATACAAACCTGCGCCATAGTGTTTTGCATTCCACGTTCTGCGTTACACGACAGAGCTGAAGAATCTGAAGAAAGAGGCCTGGAGTGAATATTGGCGGAGGAGGGTTTAGCGATTTCTTGTGTTGCTCCCAGGTCTATGGATGGGTTCGCTTCATCTTTTGCTGTGGCTGTTCGGGCCTTACAAACCATGTTCGACCCACTCCTTTTTTTGATCGGGTCGAAGTAGACGAGAGTTTCCCACGTTGATTCGGCACAGGTTGATGAACGACGTCACTTGTGACCCGCTGAGGCTGGCAGACTTGCGCGTGATCGCCATGGCTCTGGGCTGGGCTACTGGGCTACGCCATGTGGCAAGAACCGGTCGGACGCCAGTCCTGGTCGCAAGGCCGGCAGTCGTTTGGTTCGGGCTTCAGGGGACTCACCCTTTGAATTGTTGTAAAGAATAGATTTGTCCATGCGTGGATGGGTTCGCTTCGCGCGTTGCTGTGGATGCTGTGGCTGTTCGGGCCCTATCCTATCGTTTGATCGCTTTGGCATGGGACGGTATGTCAGGCACATCACCGTAGCATCTTCAAGGGGCCTCCAGGCTTTAGAGAGCCTTGGCCGGATCGGAGGCCCACGACTTGTCGAAGTTTTCCCATGCCCATATTACCTTTGCGCTGAACTATGTGTTTTCAACCTCCCTTTTTTTCCAAGATTCCTTTCCCCCACCCTTTGGAACCTTTTTTTTCACCCTTCCAAAACCTTTTATTTTCACCCTGCACCCTGTCATTTTCACTTTGTAGCATGTTTCTTTCACCCTTCACCTTGTTTTTTCACCCTTCACCCTTTCTTTTTCACCTTCAACCCTTTCTTTTCAACCCTCCGCCGGTGAAGCAGGTAACGCCTGGAATCTGCACAGAGAACGATGTCACCCCCTGTTTGTTTCATACCGCTGTTTGGGACATCAACCCCGGAACCGAGAAGTCACTGCCGCCTTTGCAGCAGGCGCCTACTTAAGGGAGAGAGCTCCTATCTACTTAAGCTTCTAGGAACTGGACAGCTCACGCTTCTTCAAGGAAGCTCCCCTTGCCTGAGGGTGGGGGGAGCTTCGTTGAAGAAGCGCTCGCACTATTCAAGTAGTTTCTAGATGTTTTGGGAAACTGAGAAATTACAATGCATCCTTGTGCAAGGCATGTGGAGGATTCACTGTGGAAATATCATTTCGTTCACTTAGATGGTCTAGACCCTCCTTGGTTCAGCCACAATGCATATCAAGGAATGTTCCCTTATTTCAACAGCCCACCAAAAGCGAGGAATACTGCAGGTACCCGCTGCATACATCGGCCAGGTAGTCCATATTTCCGCGGGTACAGTTCAGACTTGGATGATTTTCCTTCCAACAAAATTTGGAGAAGCGATGGCCTACAACCTGCCTCCAGCCTTAGAAGCGATCTCCCCAATTTCAGGAGAAGCAAGAAGAAGATTTGGTCCAGCTGATGGCCGGCGCGTCCACTGCCCTGAAGTCTGTGGGCTGCGCGCTGGTGGGAGGAGTGGAAAGAACATACATGGCTTGAAAGCACGTCACGTGGAAGTGGCCTCCAACCTACTCACCACGTCTATCCACCACCTGTTTTCGAACCCTTCTGAGTGACCTCAGAGATGCAGCTATTTTTCACCAGTCATGTGCATATACACGGTACCCATACGCATCGTATTTGGTTCAAGGAAAAAGGTGTACAATGTTGGCTGTTACCTGTTTGAAATAGGTTATCAGCCGTAGGACTCTTTTTCTTGCCCTTCGTTGCTTGTTCGTTCCGCGTGTGCCTGTGCCATGGCAGGCTTCAGGACCCCGGCGATTATCGATCTTTCGTCCGACCGGGATCAAATGTCCACACGTGAGGATACGCTGGAGATTGGAAGTCCCCAAGCACTTGTTCCTGTCGGAGCCGGGTATTAGGGCACGCCGATATGGCCTGACATTCCCCAGTATGTTCCTCCGGAAACAAGGAAACAAGTGCAAGCGGGAACGCTGCGCCGATCAACAACCACAACCACATGAACGTATTGAATCAGCACTTGCATGTTCACCATGCCCCATCCACCGGTGCCAGGTTGCTCCAATCGTGAAGAAAGAGCCAACTGAGGAATTCCCGTCCCAGCTATTCCGCCAGGCACAGCCGCTCAAACCGGAAGGCTCCACACGGGATGGAGAACGGTCTCCGAAGGGAGATGATGCCAAAGGGAACCTTCGGCCGGATCCGAAGAAGGCCACTGCAGGCGGGGGTGGTCCACCTGACGGCCCAAGCGACGGCCGGGGTGATGACAGGGACGACGGGGACGATGATGACGATGAAGGTGATGTGTCCGGTCGTGACCTATTGAAAGCCCTAACAGTTGGGGAAGAAAAGCTCTGAGAACCAAGGAAGCTGATCATATCAAGGTGCCTCCCTTTCCATATCCTGAAAGCTACCGCGACTGGAAGATTAAAGTTCGTGACGCCGTTCGGGCCGCGTCGAAGACTCCAGACAAGGCTTTCAAGTGGATCAATAAGGTATGGAGGGAGTGCGCCGTCACTGCCCACCTGGTAGACCTGGAGGGATTCACTACCCTTGACGCAAAGCTATTGTCAGCACTGCCGAATATTTTTTGGGCGAGTTTGCTAGGAGGGTGAATATGCTCAAAGAGAAAGAATCTGCAGCCGATCGCCCTGTAACAGGAAGGCAAGTTTTGTTGATGATGGATGAGTTCTTCGGCACGAACATAAAGCATGGAGCAATGTATTCGCTGAAAGACTTGTTTGCTGTGAAGCTCAAGGGTGAAAGAAAGCCTGAGAACTTTCATTTCGAATTGGGACACGGTCAATGCAGGGATCACACATCCTCCCGATCCATCCATGTTGGAAACCCTCTTCTATGAACAAGTCAAGAATGTCCGTGCCATCCAACATGACATTGAGGTCTACAATCGTGCTGAGGAAGGTGCTGAAAACCATTCATACAAGTTCTTTGTTGAAGCCGCGCAAAGGTACCTTCGGAGGGAAAGGCTTGAGTCGAACCGTGATCGGATCCACAGCAGCCTCGGAGGTCCGAAGCCGTCCGCTCCCACAGTCGACAATGATCGGAAGAAAACTCCATTCACCCCAAAGGGGTATTGCGTTGCATGGAACAAGGGAAGCTGCGCCAAAGACAATTGCACGTACGAACATGACACTCCTCCAAAGAAAACTCGAAAACCAAGTCGAGGACGATCAACCAGTCGGGAAGGTAAAGACAAGTCGAAGATTGCGCGCAAGTATTGGAAAGCAGGACGCTGCAAGAGGGGAAGCGAATGTGAATTCTCCCACGCAGGCAAGCAGAAGCCCCGCAAGGCCACTCCAGCCCGATCAGGATCCCGCTGTTCTCGCGGAAGCGATAATAAGGACAAGTGAAGAAGAAGGACAAGAGGGGCAAGCGGGACAAGAGCGGAAGACGACGCGGATCCGAAGCCAGGATCTTGTAGGGTTCAAGGGTTCCGGGGGGTCGAGTAGGTCTTCGCCAGCTGCAGTCTGTCTTGTTGCGTCGATGCTTGCATCATCCGTTGAAGGACTTGCCACCGGGAACGGTTGGCCGCACATTGCCTGTCCGGCCAAGATCAAGGTGAAGTTCGAGACCAAACCGAACATCACCGAATACCGGACTACTGGTGACCTGTTCCGATACGAAGTGGAAGGGAACAATCCATCGAAGTTTTACCCAACCGATTTTGCTATGAGCCCAGACCCATCAGCCATTGAAGATTCAATCTTGTCGGCTAATATGCTTGCCGGACCTGTCAGGAATGAGTTGCAAGGGTTCAAAGCTAGGCGTCCCTTCTTGTGTAAGTCCACAATAGGTTGTGACCACTGCATACCCAAGAACCTGTATGCGACACCAGCAGCTTCTGAACAGCATGTCGAGCACTACCTCCTTTCAGGTGAGGCCTGGATCGCCGATACCGGCAGTGCTCAGGGTCTCGCAACTAAACACGATGTTCCGGACAGGTATCAGTTTTTCTCCGATCACCGCATGGTGAAAGCTCATCATACCTCCAAGGCAAAGTGAGAAACGAAACACTGGGTTGTAATTTCACGCCATACTTGCTTGAATCAACACCACCAGTGACGTCCGTAGGTATGAAGCGTGTGAATGAAGGTTGCGACTTTGTCTGGACAGCCGGCAAAGACCCGTACTTCCAAAAGCCTGACGGTGTCAGAATTGAGCTGACAGTACGAGACTATGTACCATACGTCCCATCGAGCCTCGAAAGCAATGCCTTGCAAGTCTCGATCCCGCCCTGTTGTCGACGCCGGTGTACGCTCTGACGCTTCTTCATCAAGGACTTCATCTTCTACATCCACCACTTCTACCGCTCCCATGGCCCTACCTGCTGAAGTCGCATCGGGCTCAGGTGATGCGGGGGGTGGTGATGATGATATAGTGGGAGAGAAGCAGAAGCAGCTAGCCGGAAGGCTGACCCGCCCAGGTGACTGGAAGGTCGAGCCGCCAACGGATGAGTCTAAATCTAGTGATGATGCCATGGACGATCAGGCGCCAGGACCCTTGGTGGCAGAAAGGGGGACGGGGAGAAGCCTTACTCGTAAGGAACCCATTCCCAAGAATGACTTTTGTGATGTTTGCCGGGCGCCGTAAGGCAAAAATCAAGTATCCCTCGAGGGCTAGAGGTGGATCCAGACAGATCAAGGCAAAATCTTTTGGGGGTCATGTTACTGGGGACTTTGTCATCACCGCAAAGGGTGAAGAAGCAGGTGATGAAGAAGAAGGCGCTGGTCTTGTTCTGAAAGACATATTTACCGGGCTTACTGAAGTTTACCCGTCGGCGCGTGGTCAAGATCTTTTATTCCGATAACCCCAGAGCTACTCAGCGCAGCTCGCACATTCAGCGGCGGCGCATCACATCGAAGGACTATATTTCACAAAGCAACGCTGTTGCGGAATGCACCATCCGATCCATCGTGGAGGGAACAAGAGTGAACCTGCTGCAAGCTGGTCTTCACCATCAATATTGGCCACACGCAGCTAGGCATTGGTGCGTGAGTGACAACATCGCTCAGTTCGATGGTGAATAGGGAATACGACCCATTAGAAGGTGTTTGTCGTACATCAGCCCGAATCAAATGAACCACCTGTTCGTCCCATCCATTGACAAGGACTGTTTCATCCCTATTGACAGGTTAGGGATGGCACGGACCACGATCATGTCACGAAAGGGAAAACCCCTCAACCTCATTCAGGACAAGTGGCGCTCACGGGGAGAATACCCAGTTGATGAACCACGGACGGGAAGAACAATGTTCAGAGTCTATAGGCAGGAGATCCTTGACGCCTTGACAGATTGGGAGTTCCTTGCTGCTGAACGGGAAGGATCATGTTGATTAGCATGCTTTCTCTGAAGTCAATACAAGGGGTTTTCGTCGAGGACAACCAGGCTACCATTCGCATATTGGAGTCTGGCAAGTCTCCTTCTCTTCGACGCACTGACAAGACACAGAGGGTGAACCTATGATGACTATCCGAACAGTTCAAGCGTAAGTGGAAGAAAGCTGTCAGACTCATGGCCATCAGCTCTCAGAGCACCCATCGGAAAGCCGCCATCGCTCATGCAGGAGACGGGAATACGACGGCGGATGGATGCTCGGGGGAACCCGTGAACCTTAGCGCCTAGTTGTGGAAATTTGCTGCAACGAAGGACACAGGTAACTGCAGGCCTCCCTGAAGCGGATATAGTCAGCGCTCTGGCCTCTAAGAAGTGGACATAGATATCAAGGGTCAAATCTTGGAGAGGCATCTAGGCCAGCAGCAAAAGGTTGTAAAGTATTGAGAACCACTGAAAGGGACAACTTGAACAGTCCCACCTGCCAAAAGACGCATTAAAACCGAAGTGAAGATATTCTTCAGACCACACAAGCCGAACGACATCATGTTTTGGGTTAGCCTACCATGCACGGGGGGCTCTCCATGGCAATTCGTGAACAAGCAAATGACACGCTTTGGACCAATCATGATGAGGAACACTTTCAAGTTTTGCTGAAGTTCGCCAAAGAGCAACGCACTCTGCACCTTGAAGAGGCCTTAGCTGCGGAAACAGAAACCTACAGAACATGGATGAGCAAAGCAACAGAAAAAGGCTGCAGGGGCCTGTACAGAACTCTCACAAGAGATGAGATGCCGTACATGAGGCCTTTCCAAGGCCAGCCTAGAACGGAAAGAATGGAAATGAGATTGCAACAATGGGGCGCAATCTGGAGGCTTCAAGAGCCCCCATCACACCTGAAGCTCTGCCATACCTTCAAGAGAAGGCCTCAAGCCCTTGACAGACATCCATGTATGGAAAACGATCAAGCAGCCGGCACAGAAAGCACCTGGTTTGGATGGTGTTGGTTTCGACTTGGGCCCTGCCTTTCGAGTTTTTCCATGAAGCTGAAGCTCAAGCCACCATCCCCAATCAATGGGCTGTCTCGCTGATTGCACTCATCCCAAAGAATGCTGACATTCAAAGACCCATTGCATTGGTGGCCTCCATGTACCGGTTGTGGTGCCGCCTTCGTGTTCCATACACCAGGCAATGGCAACTGGACGTTCAGCATGAATACTTCTGGGAAAGAGCCATGCCGGGCACGGAATGTCTTCAGGCGGCCTTGAAACGAGCCTTCATGACGGAACACCACAATGCCACGCAGAAGACTGTGGTATCTGTTTTGCTGGACATGTCCAATTTCTATGACCGCATCAATCTCCAGAAGCTGGCTCAGAGGTGGCTTGAATCCACCTGCCCTCCAGTCCACGTTGCTCTGGCAATGCAGGTCTATTGTGGTGGACGAATTCTTGAAGCAGAAGGTGAAGCATCAAGACAGATTTGGGCATCTCATGGAATCCTTGCAGGAGATCCACAGGCACCGCTGGCAGCCAAGATCTATTTGCCGCCAGCCCTGAAGAACTTCCACAAAAAGTTCCCGCAGCTACACACTGACCTCTGGATAGATGATTTGTCCTTTGATGTTGTTGACCGGAATCCCCAAAATGCAGTCCGGATAGCCATTGCAGCTTACAACCACATCACCAAGCTCTTGGAAGAGGACGCCCTGATCATATCGGCCAAGAAGACAGGCTTTGTTGTTAGCAATGCCAATGCCAAAGCCCTCCTTCGTGTCCAACTCCCTCCTGGGGGTCCGGCTGTACATGACGTGATGAGGGATTTGGGCATTGACTGCACAGCTGGTCGATTGCGGCGCATCCAAACCATGAAGCCGAGGAGGCTTAAAGCCAACAGGAAGACCCGCAAGCTCCAGGTGCTCAAGATTCCCCTTCGATCTATACGCCTCAAGCTTTACAAGGGAAGCATCATTGCTGGTATAAGTTGGGGCCATGAGGCCTGGGGCTAGCACCACAGGTACGCAAAAGGTTTAGAGCCACGATGGGACGACAGATGGGCCTTCATGAACCAGGTCAAAGCTTTTCATCGCTTCTATGGAGCATGGGCGGAGCATCTGGCCACAGATCTGGAAAGGGCATGGGAAGCGCACGCAGACAAACTTCAACACGCCAAACATCCTTGGCAAGTGGCCAAGGGTCCGGCTGCTGCTTTGCAATGCTACTTGATGGAGAGAGGCTGGACTGCAGAGCAACCATCCATCTGGACGAAGCCAGGCTGCGACGGACAAGATGACTTCAGGTTGGATATGCATTCCCAATTGTGCTCAAACAAGAGCTCAAGCGAGCAGAGGTTTGGGACCCCCTCCACTGCATCAGTCAGCGATCCCTGCTTGAAGAGGTGCATAAGCCCTTGGATTGGCTCCCTTGGCAAAGGCAGGCAAAGCAGCTCAACAGCCGCAACGCCACAGCTCTCATGACTTGGCATCAGGGAGCCATCTTCACTACGTTGGCAGATGGTGAACAGCGAAAGCATTTGACGTGTCCGCACTGTGGCCAGCTGGCCACCCCTGTTCATGTCCTCTGGCTTTGCACTGAGACCAACAAGCACGCTAGCTGCAGAGGTGATCGCCATTGTGCACCACGTCCTCCTGGGTGGTCAACTCCACCGGCAGGGTGCGGTGGTCACCGTCCTTCCGGGAAAGCAGTCTTGGGAGCGAGCTTGGTTCTACGGAATCCAAATGGCGGCTCACTATGTCAACTTGCAGAATCCGGTGGTTGTCCATGTCAGTTCCACCAGAGCATGGGAAGCTTGGACTCAGAGCAAGCACGGACATCTTCTTTGACATGCAAGGGCTTGTCACTTTAGATCAGCGTAGCCGTATCAAGGTCTTAGCCATCACACCGGCTCAACTCAAAGACATGCCCAACCGCATGGTCTTTGCGAAACCGCATGGCAGATGCCAGGAAGGTCGCCGCAGAAGTTGCCCGCAAGAATCCGGTCCGGAAGCACGTCCGGGAGTTCAACAAGCCGTGGAAATCCGTCATTGCCACAATCGAGAGCATTGATGAATCAATCACAATTGCATTTGAATTGCTTAAAGGTTGCGCGTATTGGAGGCTGCCAAAGGTGAGAAAGTCTCTAGACCAACATGACCTGTTGTCAGTTTCTTTCGATGGTTGTAGATTAGGACTAAGGAATCACAAAGACTTGCCAATCAAGAAACCTTGGACTGCAGCGACTAACAACACAGTCCTCAGAGATTCATTTGCACACCTGGAATGTAACTGCACTTGCGAACACGCCCCAGGCAGAGGAAACAGTTTGAAACGAACTGAAGAGTGTACACTTACGAAATGACAGACCTCCTTCATTTTTCCCGAGAGCGCCTGCGAAGGGTTCTTCGTAAAGAAACATCTGCAGAACTACACCTCCTCTACATCTTCACATCTTCACCTCTGAACAATCTTCACATCCTCGCATCTACATCTCAGCTCATCTTCATCTTCACACATCTACATCTCTGCTCATCTTCACATCTGCACATCTACATCTCTGCTCATCTTCACATCTGGATCGCTGGAATCAATGTTCGCGATGCCAACGGGAACGTTCGCCGCAACCCAAGATCATTTGTCGGCTTTCTGCTCCTGTAGCATTGCGAACCAGGAGGTTTGCCACGTCCATTTTGGCTGGCACTCCTAGTGCGTTCTTTTGTCAATAGTAATTCACAGCATGTGGCACCTTGGCACTATGTATGGAGCGGTAATGCTCCCAGTGTGCTAGCTGGAAACGTGGGCCGTTCATCCGCCCGCAGTGAGCGTGAAAGGATCTGAGCCTTGATCCGCATCATTCTCCACATTCGATGCATTTGTAGGTCAGTTGTATTGCACATAGTTCGTCAGCCCGTTGTGAGGTCTATCTGGGCTGATCCACTGCCTCTTCGGTGCCGCCCGCAATCGGGCCGCGCCGCGGGGGGTATTTTTCACCAGTCATGTACATACACGGTACCCATACGCATCGTATTTGGCTCAAGGAAAACGGTGTACAATATTGGCTATTACCTGTTTGAAATAGCAACTAACTAGGTCTGGCTGGACAGATGCTTTGAAAGACCTTGAGAGCAAACATGTTGCCTAACACCGACGAAAACTGTGGACTAGGACGACGAACGACTTATTACTACTACTCCTCCTCCTTCTCCTCCTCCTCCTGCTGCTGCTGCCACTACTGCTGCTGCTGCTGGTACTACTACTGCACAGGGCCATGTTCATCCAAATTGGAGGTCCTCCAGAATGCGCTCGGAGACGGAAACCATCAAACCATGACCGGTACCATCCGAGACACATTCCGTGCAAGTGGATTGCGATTTTTTCTTTACCAAACAGTGGGTGAAGTCCACTTGGAGGTCATCCCCAATAGGTTCCTGAAGTCTTTGGGACCGGATGACGACCGCCGGTCATCTGTCGGAGTCACGTGGTGAAAGCACGCTGTGTGCGCATGCAGGACACACGTGTGAGGCGCGAGAACTGGGTTTGGGCTTTGCGGTCACCGGGCAGCTCGAGGAGCGGTCGAACGCAGCCAGACATGCCTGGGCCCGCAGGGAAGTCCGAGTTCTGTGGGACCCTCAAAACTGGTGGTTGTTTGAATGACTGGGATTTGTGTGAAGGGTTCTGAAGGGGGCACCAATCAGTGATGATGAGGGCTAGCAATGGTTAACCAGCTCCGCCCTAAAAGAGTTGGTCCTTTTTCATACTGGGACCGTGTTAAGACACTGTGTGATTACTGTAGTTCACCTTGTGGCTGAGGAAAAACGCACCTGGGCACCGAAAGAGTTCCTTCCAGTTTCAAGGTAACCAAGACCAGTGCTACTAGGTTGGAGGCCATCGCTCTTAGGGTGGAGGCCACCGCTATTAATCGCTATTAATTGGTTTCAAAGTCAACCAAGACCACCCGCTCGACCCATACGCTTGTTTGGGTGATTTCTTGCACCTGTTCGAACAGTCAGCGCGTCCTCTCGCAAGGAGAACGCCATGAAGAAATCCTCGATGAAGCCAGGCAAAGAGAGCATGCATGATCATGCATGGTCCATTTGCTTGCGATGGGTGATGCACCAAAGTATCCAAAATATCCAAATTAAGTCCATCAGTGCCACTCCTTGTCAGGCGACGCGTTGGTCCTGACCAAGCGTTTGGGCATCTCGAAGCGATGTTTGCTTCCAACACGGGCGCTGAGAACGTGTTTTGTTCCTGGACAGGTTGAACTAAGAGGCCCTCGCTAGAAAGTTGGAGGCCATCGCTTCTAGGTGTTTTCTTTGGCGTGCTACTCAGCTGGCACGGTCTGCCGCTGAGTCTCTCCGAGGCACCGGCACGCTCTTTGCGGCGGACATGCGCGCCAAGGCTCGCGGCGTGTGGGTCGCAGAGGCGCTGCGGCGCATGGCGAGCTCCAATGGCCCAGCGGCAAAGATCCTCCATGGACGCTAAGCTCGAGCACTTTGTAGCTTTTTGTTACTAGTAGTAACAAGTGCCACGCTAGTAGTAACAGGTGCCTTACTAGTAGTAACAAGAAGCTATTAGAAACAATAAGCTAATAGCTTTTTGTTACTAGTAGTAAGAATGCTCCTAGTAGCGATGCCAGGAGCCCCTAGTAGCGTCCTTGCTCCGAGTGAGCGGAGTGAGTGGAGGGCCGCCTTCTGCTTCCTGAGATGGTGTGAGAAACCCCCAATGGGCAGCCTCAATTGACAGACCTTGACCCTCGAAGCGATGTTTGTTTTTTGGAATCGACTGACGCCGGTGCTTGTGGCCTCCTGACTAAACTGATTGTGCTCTTTCTCAGCGCTGCATGCTGAGCAACAAAGCTGCAAGATTCGCTTGATGCCCCAACCTTTATCATTGAATCCCCACATCTTGTCTTTGTTCGTTCTTTCCCAATGACATCTCCACCCTGTGATGTCTAACCATACCTTTAACCATACGTGAGGTCATGGGGCCAACGCGTGCACCGATGTCACGGGCTTTGGCTTGATCGGACACTTGCTGGAGATGTGCTCCCAGTCCCAGCTCGAGGCGACTCCGAGCAAGGAACGGCCTTTTTTCGTTTCGGACGTGGTCGGAGGCAGAAGGTGTTATTTTTGCTCACTGAAAAAGAACTTCGAAAGAAGAGCTTTGAACCCGAAAACCTTTTCCAAGGAGTGTTTGTCCGAAGGAGTTTGAATGCTGACCCTAAATCGTCGTTGATTCTCGTTGGACAAAATTCAATCGACATTTTTTGGCGATGAGGGCTCCAGAAGTCATCCACCTTCACGGCTCAGCCGTGATCCAAACGATCTGTTCAGCGTTCGAGGCCATCGCCCAATTCTCTCTCCTCTCTCTCCGCTATTAGGCTGGAGGCCATCGCTATTAGGTTTCTCTCTCCCACTCTCTCTCTCTCTCTCTCTCTCTCCGAGGCTACCGTGGAGCTTTCGAAGGTGCCACTCTACGAGGGCGCTCTGGAGACCATGGCCATGGGCATTGAGAGTTCTCTCCAGGCGGGCGGCATTGGGAGCGCATTCGCCTCCTTAGTCCCTCTGCAGGGCGGGTGAAAAACCAAACGAGGCGCGTGAGCTTTGTGTTTTGGGCGCCTCATTTGGGAGGTTGAATACGGCTGGACTTGCAGAGGAAAAAAATTACAAGGAAACGGTGTGTGAGGAAAATAGGGGTTCTGTTCTCAGCTATCGGATGACCACACAGGTCATGGATTCCATCGCTGTCATGTAGCCAAGGCTACTCGTGTGTTGATTTGTGTGCCGGCGTGTAGCAATCGAAGCTGCGCTCATGGTTCAGCGCCTCGTGGTTCATCCCGCAGGTGGCCAATGTGCGCTTGCGCCGGGCTGTGAAGAGCACGGAAGAGGCTGGGCCGCACCGGTCCACCCCGTCGAGGAGAAACGTCATAAGCTCAGGCCAATTTGGGACAGGCGTCTCATCATTAGAAGAGGGGAGGCCATCACTTCCACGTTGGAGGCCATCACTCTTCTTTTCATCTCGATCTTCTGCTCTTCTTTCCGACGCCAGGTCCGCGCGCGGGCGGCGTATCCGCTGCTCTTCGACCCCCAGACCTCCGGAGGGCTCTTGGCCTCGCTGCCGAAGGTCGCCGCCGAGAGCTGCGCGGCTCGGTGTTCGATTGGCCGTTGAGAAGGATTGGCGCGGCGCCGAAAGAAACTAGTAGCGTCCTTGCTCCTAGTAGCGATGCCAGGAGCCCCTAGTAGCTTCCTGTTACTAGTTATGTTTCCCTACAAATCTAGGAACCAAGTCATTAGTGATGTTTCTCCATTTCACGGTGTCTCTGACTGCGGAAACCCAAGGTCCGCGAGCTGCTGGCTGCCGGCCTGGAAGCCACGGTCATCGGCGAAGCAACTGGGAGGGGCCGAAAGGTGTGGGCGGAGAAGACCTCCCCCTAGTTCCTACTAGCGATGGCCTCCAACCTAATCCTGATCGCAAAAAGGCATCAAAACCTGCTAAGACCAAACTGGAAGGGAAGGAGACTCCGATTCGACCACCGGAAGCTGGATTTGTATTTGTTTAAGATTCTTTGTTAGTTTGTGTATTTGAGTTGTACTTCCTTTGCTGTCAGTTTGAAATAAAGTAGTTGGCCTGAGTGATACTTTTTCAGGAGTTTGCCAGAAGTTTGCCGGGCAGCCGCTCTAGACACACAGAATCAGAAGAGAGCCTTGTAGCGTCCTTGTTCCATTGTGTTGAAATGTTGTGAATAGATAGCCATTAGTAGTTGGTAGCATTATAGTATAGCCACACTGTTTGCAAGTTTTCTGTGTTCAAGCACATGCAAAGATCTAGATGGTTGATGGGTGCAAAAAGGAGTAATACTTGATCCTGAAGTCCTCCTTGCATGGGTCATATCCAAGAACACAGTTGGATGATATTTGTGTTGCATGATACCAATATCGGCATTTCAGACGGGTGAGAGGTTCTCATTCGAACAGATCGCCAGGTCACGGGCCCCGCGAGCGAGCTGGAGATGATCACCGTGGCATGAGACGGCGATTGATGCGACAACAGACCTGACCTATCCAAAGTGATGAGTCACTCCCCAACGCGCGATGAGTCACCCGCCAATCGATTTCAAAAAAGTCGTTTTATCTCAGCGAAGAAACATTTTTCGCTACTAGGAACAAAGGGCATCGCTACTAGGTCCTGGCCTTACTACTAGGAACAAGAACGCTACTAGTAACAAAGGGCACCAGTTCGTAGGCTCTCGGGTCGGGAATCGTTGGTTTCGCAGCGCCGCAGCGCCGCAGGCGCTGGATTTGGCACTGAAGACCTTCGCTTTCGGGCTCTTCCCCAGGCGAAAAACACAGTGGTCTTGTTCAGTGTTTGGAGGGCCGAAGTTAAGTCGCAATTCCGCCAGATGAGCATGCGACTATTTGGCAGTAGAGGTCTATTGACCGTCATCCGCATCCACTATAGTAGTCAAAGGTTGATACAAATACCCAGAAAGATCCTCTTAATGTGAAAGATGGTTCAGAATGATTCAGGAACCATACTCTTTTCCTTCCACGCTTGGCTGAAAACCTGGTGCGAAAATACCTTAGCTGAACACTGTGCCTGGGAGACGAACGTGTAAGCTGTCGAGGTGGACGAATGATGAGTTGCCCTGCAAGTTGCACAGCCACATGGCCGCAATTGATCCAAGCAGCCAAGCACACGCTTTTGAACCAGACTGACAGACCAAAGCAAAGACAAACATGGACTTGGGGCAGCAAGGGGCTTGCAAGTGGGCTTGCAGCTGCTTGTATTGTGATTGAACGTGAAATCCTTGGAAAAAAACTATCCAAGCCACAAAAGCGTTGTTTCTTTTCGTTCAACTGACCACCTTGGGCCCTCCAAACCACTGGGTTGTAGAGGAGAATTGCAAAAAAGGGTCTTCCACGGGTCAATCTTCACTGGTTAGTGTGCACGGGGCTATGCATGGCCCCATCCATCTGTTGCCCACACAGCTCACAGCATGAGGCTACACCTGTGTCGCAAGCCCTACGGAGATTCCGGGAGCGTGTGGGTGCACAGGAGCGTTTTTGTGAGCGGACCAACTAGCTGTTTTGTGGGCGGACCAGCCCACTGCCCACTGAATTGCTAGGTGTGCAACTGAAATGTGTGGTTTTCAATTGTACAATTCTGCAACTTTCTGGTATTGGTTGTTGCACATGGAAGGAAATCCATGGCTAGAGCTCCACCATGCTCTACCGATGTTTATATCTTTTTCGCAAGGAAATGCAATGTTTGTGAGGTTGATGTTGGTGTCCTGCCGCTTCCCTGTTTGCTCGCCACGTAGACGGGCAGAGTTTTTCTCCAACTCCCCTTGCCGATCGACACGGAATCCGAGGGTGAGGTAGTCGCTTCGGAACGCAGAAAAACGATCGCTTCGGAACGCGTGTCATCGCTAGCAGGTTGGAGGCCATCGCTACTACTATGGAGGCCATCGCTAGTAGATTGGAGGCCACCGTGCCCACGATTGCGTTTGTTATGGTACTGTGGAAGCAATTAGCAAAAAGAGATCATCATGTAGATGAATGTCCAGACAGGCGTTATTAACACCCCCCCACCCCATCCCCCCCACCCCACCCCATCCTTCATCTTTAAACCCTCCCCATCCGTGTCTGTGTGTGTGTTCTAAAGTGACCCAAAAAAAACAGGTTTGTTTTGTTCCAAAGTGATCTCGCTTTTTTCAACCCTTCCATGTGTTTGGGTTGTTTTGTGTTCCAAAGTGACACATCTTTTGTGTTCCAAGTGAACTAAAACTTGTGTTCCAAAGTGACTCTCCCACCGACTCCGAGTGGTCGACTCTGGCTCTCCAAGTCTGAAGAAGCCGAAGTGGCGGTCGATCAACAGACCACCTTTGATTCCAAGGTTCACACCTGAGCTCCCTTCATCACGAGGGGACATGAGGACTTCGACGGGGAGTCTTGTTTACGGTCTCCACTTCGAAGACTTCGACTATCGCCTTAGGCCGGGCTTCACCACCTTGTCCGGTGGCCAGGATGGTTGCCTGGGACTCACGCCCGAGGCGCGTGGCGGTCAATCCCCGAAAGGAATTACACTGTGAGGGCCCCGTTCCCGAAAATGGTGCTTCAACGATGGACCGAAGGCAAGCGAATGGGGGGCAAGTTCAGGCGGATGGACAACTCCCTGGAATGCTTGCGAATGGAAGGGCAGAAGGCAACAAAAGGTTTTCCCAGGCTCAGACTCCGACCCAGTCACATTCAACACGGAAGTGAAAACATTGGCTGTAGAAAGATTATGAAAGACATCAAAGATTCAAGACGATTTTTCCTTTACAACACAGATCAACACAGGGAGGTGAACTCCACTTCCATGTCGAGTTCGTCGGAGCAGGTCGGAGTTTAAAAACGCTTCGATCACCATTTTTATCCATGTTTCGTGACGCCCGGGATCTGCAGCTCGTCACAGGGCGATGTGCATCGGTGGGTGGCCAAAGCCGGTTGCGTGAGGGTGCCCATGCCGTGGCGAATCGTGGCGACCGGGTCTATGGATGTCTTGGGTGTTTTTGCGTGTGTTTATGCTTTATGTGGTTCTTGTTTTTTCCTTCCTTTCCTTTCCCTCCTTCTTGTTTGGGTGTCCCTGGATGCTTTCGTCATAGCTGGGAACCCTTCTTTTCTCTTGGTGTGTCCTTGGGCGCTTGTGTCGTAGCTGGGAACGCCTTCTTTTCCTTTCCTTTCTTCTTTTTCTTTCTTCTCTTCTCTCCTTACCCTACCCCTCCCTCTTGTGGGGACCTTAGAGTGGGACGCTACTAGGGGCTCCTGGCCTTCCTACTAGGTGCAAGGACGCTACTAGGTAAGAGCGCCTCCCCTTGGGGAGGCATGTGTGTGTGCCCCTTGTAGTCACAGGGATTCTTTTTGAATTGTTTATAGCAGGGGGTGCCAGGGATGCACACTGGACTGGCACCAACGAAGACGCCAGTGTTGCTTCTGTGAAATCAATCCGGGACGCCGGATTGACGTACCTGCTTGGCAGAAAACCTACGTAATGGACAAGCTGTTCCAATTCTGTGTTTTGCAGTAATTGTCTAGTGCTGACCTCACCGTCGTTGAGCTTTGGAGATCGTGACTTCAGAACTTTCGGCTTTGGAGATTGGTGGAGCTTTCCCCTTACTCACCTTGATTTCTTAGGTTTTTCACTTAGGCTGGCGTGTGGCACCGCTGTCAGTTCAGTACGCATATAAGTGTGTGTGTGTGCTTGTGCTTTATGTGGTTCTTGTGTGTGTGTGTGATTGTGTGTGTGTCTGCGTTTATATGGCTCTTATGTTGTTGTGTATGTGTGTTTTGGAGGGATTAGCTTGTTTGGTGTTTTTTGACTCTTCTTGGTTGTGGTTGTGGTTGTGGTTGTTGTGGTTGTTGTTGTTGTTGTCAGTGAATGCGTTACGACTGTTCATTTCAATGTGTGTTTTTTGGGACGGGCCACTATCACTATCCCTCGAACTGTTCAACAGAAAGAAAACGATTTTGGAGGGTTTCTGAATGAGCTATCATGTAGTAGAAAACAAAACGTGCTTTTCGGGTTGGCTCGACGAGATCCATGGCATGGTTTTTGAGTGACCTTAAAAGAGGATGTCATAGAAAGTGCCACGGTTTGCAGGCTCTATGGTTGTGTCCAAGTGTGTTAGGGACGATGCTTGGGGCTGGTCCACAACCATGCCCACTCCCCCCCTCTTTTGACAGGGGTTTGATTTGGTGCCCAACCCCATCATTTTAAACTGGCTCTAAGTGCTGCCAAACAAAGCGGTCACAGGAGACTTAGCTGGGTGCATCCCGCGGCTACGTCATGTGACCCGTTCGACGCCCTGACTGAGGCACGTGGTTTCACGATGGAATGGTCCCTCTCCATTTTGAAAGACGAGGCCCGACCGACTTCGACTGCGGTCGCTGTCGCGGTCGGAGGAGGAGACGGTGGAAACGGTGCAAAAAGTCTCGTTCCGACTGGAAAAGGTTTTTTTCATCGTTCTTGTTCTTTTCATGTTTCGATCAGAAAAAGTCTTTGGGGCCCAAAATCTTTGGGCGAGACGTCAGAAATTGCTGAAAGTGAATGCGACACCCAGACACGAATGCTCAGTGGCTGGTTGAAGCCAAAGTTTGTGTTTGTCCTGGACACTGGGGGTCCTGGACTCCTGGACCCATCCACGTGATTCCCCACTTTGGGGATCTTTGAGGCTAAGCTGCGGGCTGGGCCGGGGGTGCCCATGTTGTAATCGGCGGCCGATTCGGAGCCTCACTTATGTTGCCGAGAGCCGGTAACGCAGGTGGGCCAACGTCTGCAGCTTCGGGAGGTCGTTGGGGCCCAAGGAGCTGTTGAAGTGGAATTGGTCTCCCAAACAAAGATTTGTCGAGTAATCATTTGCGGTTAAGGTTTAGGTGCTGCAATGAAAATGCATCATATAGTGGTCTCACTTGGTCATGTGAGTTCCATGAGCGCTGATCGTTTTTTTACAGGTTCAAGGATTTTTCACAGGAATGCTGCTAGGTTGGAGGCCATCGCTAGTAGGTTGGAGGCCACTGCTAGCAAGAAGCCATGAACGTAGCTATTCAATTCTGTTCTTTACAGATTCTTGCCTTTCTATTTTGGCTCCGAGTCGAGGCTCTCAGCAGCGGCCCAGTTCCAGACATCCGGCGGCCGAGTTTCGGCGAAGACCCAGCTGTGGCGGCAGTGGCCCTCATGGACAGTGGAGAGGTCTTTGCGTCACAGGCCGATGTTGTCACGGAGAGGTGCACCAAAGAGATATGAGTGGATTTGAGAGGAATGGCGACGGCGATGGCCTCCAACCTACTAGTTGAAAGAAATGGAATACTATGGAGTACTGTTTCTGCCTTCTGCGGTGCCTTGTTTTTCAATCCCTCAGCACCGGTGTCGACTCCCAACGGCGTTCTCTCATCGAAGCACCGGAAGAGACCCGGTGCTTCTCCGTCCTCCAGGCCTGGTACGATGAGGGCCAAGACGGCACGATGGTGTGTCCAGATTGGCGTCTTGTGCCACTGGGAGGAAAGAAGCTACCAGTAGCTACTTGCTACTAGTAGCAATTGCCTCCAACCTAATAGCGATGGCCTCGGGCTTGTGGGTTTTGTCGAGTATGACAGGCAAAAGAATGGGTAGCTGTTACTTTAATCAATATCCCTGGTGGTCCATGCTTCGTGTTCACTTTGTTGGCCCCACAGCCAAATGGGAAAACTGCAAAAAAGGGGAAGAGGGCTGATTACTGCAAATTTAGGAGGCCATTGCTATAGGTTGGAAGCCACTTGGATTCGTGTTTTCCACTTTGGAAAACCTTCCACCCGAAAGACATCATTGCGTGAATATGAATGACACCCACGTCCTTGTCCACATCCTCCTTGCCAAGCAACTTGCAGTTTGCCATAATCTGTCAATTTCTGGATTTGTCTGGCAGATGAATATGTCAAGAGGAGAGTGGAAGCTTTCAGATACCACCTCAACCTACTAGCGATGGCCGATTTGTTTTTGTGTTTCGCACTGGTCAATGATCAGTGACTTAGTGGAACAATAACAAAGGGACATTCAACAAACAGACAAACATGCGGCTTCAGGGAGTCCATCAAATTCAATTTTGACACCATGTCAATAAGCAAATTCTGAAACACTGAATTGGCTGCGCGGGGTCCTCAGTATCAAAGCTTCCATTTAAAGTGCCCATGTTCAACGTCATTTGCATGGTTGGCTCAACAGGCCTGAACAACCACTGTCACAACTGTCCCGTCCATCACTGTCACGGCTGAATTCATTTTTGGCGAACACCCAAGTCCTATTGCGACCTGTCATGTTGCTCCATATGCTCCATATTCCAAAATAAAAGTATCAGAATTCAGTCAGTACAGTATCCAGAATGCTGTTATTCCACAGATTCCCAGAGTATGCAACGTTTACAGTAGCAGAAAGGAGCGCTGACTGGTTCCTACCGGAGCCATTTTTGTTGGGTCCTTTTTCCGGCCCCCAGCTCAAGGCCCAGCTTGCAAAGCGTTCTGGCCAGGGCCCAAGAGGGGCCCAAAGGGCTCCGCCGGAGCTGGTTGAAATGTGTGGCGCGAAATGTCGAGTTTCAGCAGAGCTAAAGTTCACCAAACTCTATGATTGGACGCAAACCATTCGCACTACAAACATCGGTAGAAAGATCATCAAACCAAAGATCTATCACAGATCAGAGGACCCCTTAAACGAAGGGGTTCTCGTTCCGTGGTTTGTGCACCTCGAAGAACTTGCATTTGGAACAGACAAGCTCCACACACTACGGCAGCCAGGGTGCAGCATTGAGGGAACACATCCATGAATGCCATGTTTGTTCAAACTACGGATGGGGCAGTGAAGTGGTTTCAATGGAAAATTGAAAGAACATCAACGACACCACTGGAGAAACTATTTGCACTATTCGAAAAAATATTCCGTTGGCTTTGTGCGCTTTGAACCTGTCAAAGCATGCCTCTTTTCGTTCGCCCAGGTGGTCTCTGTTGCTTGCGGCGGTGGCTATGCTATGGCGCTCACCGCTGGCGGCGGACTGATGGCCACCCGAATGGAAGAGGAGATCACGCGGATACTGGAGACCCACATGATTCTTGGGAAAAGCCGAAGCAGTTTCCTTTTCCAGGGGTACAAGGATATTTTGATAGGGATATCATGAGATTTTGCAAAAAAAACTGTTCATGTTGCCGCCCAAATCTGGATGATCTTGAATTCTTGAATCGCGTGCCACACCTCTGCGTTGTCCGCGTTGTCCGGTTACTAGTAGCTTCTTGTTCCTAGTAGAAATGCCATTTGTTCCTAGTAGCCTCGTCCTTATTACTAGTAGTAAGGTCAGGGGCGGTTCTAGTAGCGTCCGAACGCTCCAAGCCGTTTTTTCGAGGCTTGGGGTTCCTCCCTTTGTGGTGCCATGGGCCTTGGCGCTGCCTCCCACGTCTCTGAGCTGGGGGAACCCGGCGACGAAGCATCCGATTGTTTTTTGGTGGCTGAATGTCTTCAAAGGCTTGCCAAGATTCTTTTCAAGAAGATGTTTGAAAGTTTGCTTTCGCAGGCGTCAGTTTTGAGAACATTCATCTCAAAACTTCCTCAGGCGGCTCGATGCCAAGCTGCCTGCTCGCCCGAGGCCGACCTTGGTTCAGGGCGAGCTGGCACGCTGCCGTGTGGCCGTCCGGCTTCCTGGGAGTTCGGTGGAACGGAAAAGCAACAGATCACGGTTCAAGAATGCTACTAGTAGCGATGCCAGGAGCCCCTAGTAGCTTCTTGTTCCTAGTAGTTCGAAACCTAATAAAGGATGAACCAGGTGGCAGAACGCACGCTGGGGTCCTGAACAGCCTGAACCAACATCAGGTGGTTGCATGCGGAGAGTCGCACACAGTGGCAGCGACGTTTGATGAGGACCGAGAATGTAGGACTCGTCGGGAAGTGGCTCAGTGAACGTCGAAATTGTGAACGGACGATGATAAAGACATAGGTGCCCAAGCCTGCAGAATGATAATGAAAGTATATGACGCTGACAAGCAGTGGCTCGACATATGTTGGATGTTTTTGTTGTGTAGTTAGTGCAGATAGAGCAAGAAACACATGTACATGTATATCACAGAAAGTGATTATTGCCATTGCAAATATGTCTTCCTTATGGAAAGTCCTTGGGCTCTAGTTCAGTAGCCAGATGCCTGAAAAAGAGTCTGAAACAACAAAAATCCACCAAGAAACAGCACAATATCCTGAAAAGAAACTTCTCAATCAGAAAAAGTTTGGCTAAATTCAATGCATGATAATATACGAATGTATATGATATAGCTCGGAAATGTCATGACATGTATGCATCTATCGAATCTCATCCCCAAAATGTTTGGGATCCACCTGACTGACGAATCTGCACATTTGCATGTTTTTTGTGTTCCGTGGAGTTCGTCAGGAGGAACGGCTTGGCAGTGTTTATTCTTGGGGCCTTCCAACGGACGGCCGTTTGGGGTATCTGGATGAGGAGGCCGCTTTCGACTGCGTGGCTTCGGCGCCGAAGAGCGATGCCCGAAGCAACCTAAGAGCATTGCGCGAACATTGCTTTCGCCGTGTGGACGACTTCACCACCTGAGCGTCCTTGCTCCGTTCGTAGCGATGCCAGGGGCCCTAGTAGCTTCTTGCTCCGAGTAGAACATTGCGTGGGGCTTTGAACATGCTTTCGCCGTGTGGACGGTGCCAACTCGCTTTAGCTGGTGCAAGCGGGAGCGACGGCTTGGGGTATCCATCTATTCCCAAGTATTCCCAGTCCCCCAAGCAAAAAGGTGCTGGGGGGGTTCCGGTGAACCGAAAGACTGCCGCGAGGCTCATGCACAGCGCTCGCCTCGCGTCGTCCCATGGCTCGTCCGAGACCCCAGAAAGAGCCTGGTTGACAGAGACGGATGTTTTGAAAAGGAACATTCAAGGGAACCTAATAGCAATGGCCTCCAACCTAGAAGCCATGGCCTCCAACCTACTAGCTGATGGCCTCCTAGCAATGGCCTTTGACCTGCTAGCGATGGCCTCCAACTCCAACCTGTGCAAGGTGGCGCAGAAGTATTCATGCAGTGTCAACAATTCCTACAGTTGGATTTTTGTGATGGTCCCCACCGGAACAACGAAGCTGACAATTTTTCGTCATCGTTTTGAGTAAGACTCATTTGTTTTTGACTTTGATACTGCCATGGCCTGAACCAACGAAAGGAGAGTTTGGATTAGGTCTTCAATTAATAGAGAGCCTTACCTAAGGCCTGCATGCATCAGTTCACAGCCGGTATTAGAATTTCTTCCAGGCTTCGCCAAGAATGATCTCCCGGCTAAAGATGAAATCGCCCTATCTCAGGGCCTACATAATTGATGAGTGATGAGTCGGTCTTAACTCCACCAACCTTCTAGTGATGGCCTCCAACCAAATAGCGATGAATGCGTAATAGATGAGTCATGATGAGTGTCCTGTCGATGAGGTCTTGCTCCTCCACCAACTCAAAAAAGCCACTCGCCTCGCCTGCGACGTAGCGCTCAGGAGGAGCTGTCGCAGCGGACGTTCAAAGGTGGGACTGGGACCGGGCTGTTTGAGGAAGACGAGTCTTCAACATATTTCGCTCCTCCAAATCATGAGGACTCTCATGACCAGACTGTGCACCGGGTTGCTTTGAATATCGTTCAAATACTCTCTATCTGGACATGACATAGAACTGCTGACGCATGTTTGTATGGAATCATCGAGTGGGAACCTTGGACATGGCGTAAGATTCATTCAAATCTTGGTGTTAAGGTCGGAAATTGAGATGTCTTGTGATTGAGACAAGTGCATCGCTACTAGTAGCAAGAAGCTACTAGTAGCTAAGGGCATTACTAGTATATAGCAGCAAAAAGACTATATCCCTGCCCGTTCAGCACTTGTGGCAGCTAGGCACTCCGAAGCGATCTTCCTTGAGGCCACTTTGCGTTTCGACAGATTGAGATCGATGGATTGTTGTTTAAAGATGATCTATTTAGTTTTTTGGGCCCGCTCCCTCCCTTCCTACTTAATAAGCAAGGAACTGAGGTAGCTAGTACCTACAAGTAAGCTACTAACTACTGGACGCAGGATAGCTCAAGCTTCTTCAAGGAAGCTTGAAAAAGCGCTCGCACTAATGAATTGGTTCCTGGATTTTCGGGTAAACTTAACTTACTAGTAGCTTCTTGTTGCCAGTTGTAATGGCCTCCAATCTACTAGAGATGGCCTCGATGGCACAAACATTCGAAACCACAACTCTAAAACTCCGCGACGGAGTTCTCCATGTCCTCCAGGCTTCCACAGCGTATCACCCAAGTAGCCTGCGGCACGCGGCATAGCGACCGGGACACCCAGCAAGTGTTTTTGTGTGTGGATGAATGTGTTTCGGTTGACTTCGCCTGGAGTTCCTTGAAACAGAATCATTCTTGGACAGAGTCATTTGGTAAACATGTCATTTGGTTGTAACCACACAGAACCTGGTGGGTAGAGCGCATAGTGTGTTGTTGCTCGAATGAATTTTACAGAACATCGGCTTGGTTTGCAAAGATCAACTTGAGAATCCCCTTCCTGGTACAGCCAGTAAGCAAGGAACTTTGCAAAACATGAAAAAGTTTCAAGATGTTCGCACTTATCACATGTTACCGAGTGTCCTTTCGTTCCTGAGGTCCTCATTTGTCAGGGCACGATTGTGTGCTTCGGAGGAGATGACTATGGCCAGCTGCTATCTCAGCAGACTGAGTGGGTGTTCTGGCAAATGAAACCGTAGGTTGGAGTCTATCGCTCGTAGGCGTGACGCGCCACGCCACGTTGCATTTGAGGCTTGGCCGATCCAAAGATGATCTATGGCCTTCAAGGCCAGTCGAAGGAGGAGGGAAGTTTTTCGACCTGCTTGCTTGGACTGGAACCCACAGAGCCAGAAGGGGTTCTGAAAAGGAGGGTGTGGTGAGTTCTCCTGGTTGGGGCCCAAATTTCCGAGTTGACCATGGATGGAAGCTGCAAGCTGCAGGGGAGACTCGTGGAAGATCAACTTCCAGAACTTCCAGGGGTCGATTCTTATACTTATCATTCTTGCTGCTTTGTTTGCTCTTATATTAAGCTTTCAGCTGTTGGGGGAATTGCACCAGATGAAGTGTGAATCTTGGGTTGGTGAACCTTGGGGCTCCTTGTTTTCAGTCCTGCTTCTGCACATGAAGTTGTGCAATCTATTCTGAATGTACCCCGTACTGTACTTTGTCATCATGTTCGCATGTTTTAGTTTCCTTCCATCATTGATGTCATTTTGATGGGAGTGATGGGTGTGCTTTCTGAATTTCTCCTCCCAGGCCGACTCCACTGTGTGAGAATCAAAATCATTTGAAGGTTGAGACTCACCGCACCATATGCAGAACCGCCCTGGTAGTGCCTTTACCAACATCGAAACTCCATCGGGGCGGCCGGGTTTCTCCCTCCGTCGAGGCCCGGACAGACATTGCCGCCCTTCGTCCATTTCCCGATGCTCGAGGAGAATCTGAGACCAACGAATTTTCGCACTCAGCGTATGGTCGGCGACGAATTCGGCCTCCAGTGATCGATTATACAGGATTTGCTATCCACATGTTTGCTCAAAATATCGGTTCGATAATGCTCTTTGTTTAGTATACCATGAACTTCCAATGAACCCAGAATCCAGACGCCACAGCAGGGCTTCATGGCTGCTCCAGGACCCCAAGCGCGTGGGAACGCAGGAGGCAGAGATTTGTGTTGCAGTTTAGGGTCTCGAGAGTATCGTAGCTCCTGGCATCGCTCCTAGTAGCTTCTTGCCACTAGTAGCAATAACCCTATGACTAGTAGCGATACCCTTTGCTCCTAGTAGCTTCTTGCTACTAGTAGTAAGGCCAGGAGCCCCTAGTAGCGTCGTTGCTCCTAGTAGCGATGCCCTTTGTTACCTGAAGCTTTGGAATCGAGATCTTGTGATCAACATGTCCGGTGTCCGGATTCACACAAAGAGCGTACAGAGATCAAGGTGTGGGTGTCACCGTCCCAAAGAAAAGGACCGTGGACAATCACCAAGTGGGCATCTTTGAAGCTTCCTCTAGGATTGCCAGCTCGGGTTTGGTTTGGTCCTGCTTGCAGTCAAAGTCCGCAGTTGCTACCCTGACTTAAGCTGAAGAAGTCGGTCCTAGTGTTCCTCTCACGTTTGGATACCAGTGGAATACAGTTAGGGTGGCTCTGGCCAAGAAGGAGCGAAACCATGCATGAGCATGAAAAGCAAAAGGATAAAAGGAGATATCCGCGGTGGAAAAAGCAAAAACCAAAAGAAAAAGCCAAAAGGTACAAATTACCCCTCCAAAAAGAAAGGAAAAAACACATCCGCGGTGATCCTCAATCTGCCAGGAAGCTCGACGCCTTTGCTGCGGCCCCTTCCATTCAGCCTGCGTGTGCTCGCAAGGGCCAGGGGCCGAGCTCGGACACCGCAGGGTCCGTTAAGAATCTTCTTCTTTTGCCCGCTCGCCCCCTCCCTATTTAATGAAGTAAGTGAGAAGCTATAGTAGCTTAAATAGCTACTACTTAGGACGCAGGATAGCTCACGCTTCTTCAAGGAAGCTCCGCCGTAAAGGCAGCCTCCAACCTACAAGCGGCGATGGCCTCCAACCGAAGAATCTCTTAGAGAAGTGAAGCAATGATTGGCTGCGAGAACCAAGGCATGTGCACGTGTGGGGATTGGACCTACGGCAAGATGGACTTGAGGCGCGAAACTTGGGCCTCGTTCTTTCATCGTTTGTTTCGGGAGCTGACCGGGGACAACCGTTCAATAGGTCCAGCAAGAGCCTCCGTCCCAGGGCACAGCAACAGCTGGGGTGGAGGACAGGGAGGCAGTCCGGCGTGGAGGAAATCGATCCGATTCAGCTCTCAACTACGGTCAGCCTGGAAAAACCGCAGAATCTAGAAGCTCACGCCATGAGACTGTCTCCAAAACCACAGCGTCGGGCTTCTTGTGAAGGTCAGTGATGGGCCCTGGACTGTGCCATACTTCGGGCCTGAGAGGCGAGTCAGCAAGAAGCCCTGAAGCGGGAAAGGGCGTGACAAGCATAAAAATGAGGTTCCCAAGCGAACAAAGCAATCAAACATGTGTTCAATAAATAAACACTTGCACGCGCAATACATGTAATGGTTTTCCCGGCCGCGTTTGTTGCGTAACTCGTTCGATCTCATGTCCATCGCCACCAGGCCCGTGGTGGCCCTTTGCTGCGGTGCCCACTTCTTGGTGTGCTCTGCGGAGGTCGTTTTGCCACGGATGGAGGTCCCAGTGGAAGTGGTCCAGGAGGACTGGGATCAACTGGGATGGGTGGCCCATGTTCGGTGTCAGACTGGAGAATTCGGAAGGAAAGGCCATTGACCTGATTTTGTCAACTCATTTCTTGGCGGGTCCTTTCTGCCCGCCGCAGCACCCTGCAGCTGCGCAACGCTCAGGAGCTCTTGCTGGGCTGCTGTGAGGAGAGCGCCGACGGGAATCGAAGATCTTCGATCTCGTGGAGGCCGAGAGCACAGCCTGCACGACGCGAAGCGAACGAAGGTCACGAGCGCGGCGGATCAGCAGAGTTTGTGGCGGATCAGGCGTGCGGATGGAGTAGCGTGATGGAGTATGCATGATGTGTGATGGAAGTTGAAGGTGTTTCGTATTCCAGACTCGAACAAACGAAGAGCATTTTCCAAGATCGAAAATGGCGCGGCACCGACCCCACATCCGAGCCGGCCAGGCCATCCCACCTGCCGCCGAAATGCAAGGAGGAGTCGGAGCACCACCGCAGCCTGGCACGGCGCTCAGAAACGTGAAAAGATGGCGGAAGAGGACAACAGTGGATTGGAGGCCATCACTGTCAACAAAGAGGCATAGACCCCAGATAGCAAAAAGACTTGTGGGCAGCACACTGCAGCGGCACGCTGCAGCGCCCTCTGGCGGCGCCAGCGCCCAGGCTCCACATGGCCTCCAACCTGATAGCGATGGCCTCCAACCTCATAGCAATGGCTTAGTGATGGCCTCCAAGCTAGTAGCGGCTTCCAACCTGTGAGCGATAGCCTCCAACCTAGATAGAGCGACGGCCTCCAACCTAGTAGCGATGGCCTCCAACCCCAGTACGGATGTGTGAGCGATGCGCTCCAACCTAACAGCAATGTCCTCCAACTTGTAGCCATGGCCCCCAACCTAGTAACGATGGCCTCCAATGGCCTCCAACCTAGTAGGGGTCGCCTACTGGCGGTGTCCCCCAACCTAGTAGGGATGGCCCCAACCTAAAAGACCGAAAGAATCCGAACCCAAGGTCCGAGTGATCCCATCAACAACGGGAAGACATGTCTCCGGCATAGAGGCATAGATCGCCGCATGGCCCGACTCGTCCTGCTGCGAGGTCCGTGAGTTGGAGCGAAGCGTGCGCGGCTGGTTGGGCCGGAAGGAGGATGGGGAGCCATGGGGAGCCAGTCGTTTTGGAAGTCTGGATGGTTGGTGGATGAAATGGTTTAATCCGGAAGCCGGTGGAGTGGTTGGCCATTGTTTTTGAAAAAGAGGAGATGGAGGTTTTTTCGCGAATGCGTAGTGAAGGGTTCTCGTTTAACTCTGGGGTCTGGGCGTAGAGCCTTGTTCGCAACTCGTTGTCTCAGCGTTCGCAACCGTTCGCAATCATCCGCAGTAGAGCGCTAAGGCGCTGCCATTGGGAGAAGCTGGTGGAGAGGGTTTTGCATGGAAGCGTGACCTGTCAGATTCGTGTGAAATAGCGAGGAATCGTGTGGAAACGTAAGATGTTGCACGGAGGATGATTTCCCTGCGCAGGCGCAGCGTTTTGTGAGATCCGCAGTTTTCTGCGTAGTCACATTGGGATTGGCGTTTGGAGGATGGTGTTTTTGGGTTGTTGGATGTGGCTGTGACATTGGGATTTGCGTTCCAGGGTGTTGCATCGAAGCTGTATTCTTGTTGCGATTTTGGCGGGTGGGAGCATGGTCAGAACGTGTTGAAATCATTCCCAAAGGTGTGGTGTGTTGTAAATTTTGTTGAGGCTCACATGATATGATAGTGTCACTTTTCGTGGGCGCAGTACTTTGCGCGGGCTTTGAGATGTGGACGTACGATTTTAATTTTCGTGGCAGGCACAGGGAATCGTGAGGTTGCGAGGTGTGGCGGAGGTCACATTTCGTGGCAGGCGCAGTACTTTGCGCACGTTAGACGTGTGGATACGTCAATTTTCGTGGCAGGCGCAGGGAACCATGACGTTGCGAGTTGGTGGTGGAGGTGAATGTCGCCGTGACATTGGGGTCGGCGTGTGAGTGGGTGTTGCTTGGAAGGGGTGCAATCGCAAAACTGCTTGGCAGGGCTGCTTGATGTGTGTGCTCCGATAAGGCTTGCCGCTTGATTTTTGGATAAAGTCTCAGACTTTGCCAAAATGACTTTTGGAGGAAGTCTCGTACGAGACGCTCGTTTTGGAGACTTGACACGCGGCGCGTTTTGCAGACTCGAAGTATGATGGGTTTTTGAGGAAGTCTCGTGCGAAACGCTCGTTCTGGATGGTTGACGCGTGAATTTTGGAGGAAGTCTCGTGCGAAACGCTCGTTCTGCAGACTTGACGCGAGTTTTTGAGGAAGCCTCAGTACGAAACGCTAGTTTGGAAGACATGAGGAGGCTTTAGTAGTAGTGTTTTGCACGAGGTCCCGCAAGAGTGTTCCATAAGAGTGTCCTACCAGAGTGCCCTACACGAGCGCCCCACAAGAGTGTCCCACAAGAGTGCCCGACAAGAGTGTCCTACAAGAGTGTCCGGCAAGAGCGTCCCACAACACTTTTCCACCAGAGTGCCCCGCAAGAGTGTTCGACAAGAGTGTCCTACAGGAGTTTCCACAAGAGTGTCTTATAGAAGTGTCCCACATGGGGTTCCCGCAAAAATGCCCGACAAGGTGCCTGACAAGAGTGTCCTACAAGAGTGTCCCACAAGAGTGTCCCACAAGAGTGTCCCACAGAGTGTTTGACCAGAGCGTCCGTCCTACAAGAGTGTCGGACAAGAGTGACGTACAAGAGTGTTGGACAAGAGTGTCCTATAAGAGTGTCCTACAAGAGTGTTCTGCGAGGGTGTCCCACAAGAGTGGGTGTCATACAAGAGTGTCCCACAAGTGACATACAAGAGTGTGCCACAAGAGTGCTCCGCAAGAGTGTCCCATAAGAATTGCCCGACAAGAGTATCCTACAAGAGTGTCTCCTACAAGAGTGTCAAAAATTGTTTGGGTGTTTGTTTTCGAGTACGTGTTTGCATTCGGGTGCGTGGGGTCCATCTTGTTTCAATCCGTAATAGTCAAAGCAAGTCCACGCATGTCAATGTTTATTTTGAAGGAGATTGCATGAGCGCACGAACATATACGAAAAATTTCTGGCCCAGGTACAACGGCGTCTCCTCCAAGAGCAGCGCGAGGAACGAGCGCGAAGTCAGCAGACTAGGCGGACCAGGTTGACCCTTTATACACCAATCGTGTCCGGTGTATACTTCCACGCGCGGTTTTGATGGGCAACATGGTTGAAGAACTATACATTAATTGTTTCCTGCAAAGATCATCTTCGAGTCACCTCCCTCCATGCCACAGCAATATTTTTAACCAGGAGCAGCTGCGGCGTGAGCGTGAGGAGCGGCGGGAACGGCGGCTGCAGGAGCGGGTCGTTGTATGAGATCCGGATCCCAAGAAGTGGTTTTTTGGAGACATGCGCAGGATGATTTATGGGCAAATGAGTTATGAGGCATACAAATAATGGGTAAGAAATGAAATTCATGTATACGCGTTTGTTTCTTTTTAGAGGGTAGCAATATATGAGTTGCAGCTCTCCATGTAGACTTCTCTCAGGAGCATACAGAGATGTGGCTTCAGTTTTTGCCAAGCTTCGTACCGGGCAACAGACCCAGATTGCTGAAATTCATACTTCATAAGGCAGACAGTATCGAGTTTTAACTTTAGCAAATGGATCTTGGATTTTATTAGAGTTTGTTTGCCGGCACACCACCTTGGGGTATTCTCTCCTTTGTACAAGCACCTCATTCCAGAAGTGCAAAACATGCCTCACAGCAATGTTCAGACCATCCAATACCCTCACGTCGAGTATGTCGTGACAATGTCTCCCATTCCTCTCTAGGATTGCACTAGTAACAAGTGCCACGCTAGTAGTAACAAGTGCCTTACTAGTAGTAACAAGAAGCTACTAGGAACAAGTGCCACGCTAGTTCTTTTTTGCACTTCTCCGACTTCACCCATCACCCAGCGCGGCGCGGCCTGCCTGCGGCCACTCAGGTTCCACCATTGGTCCGCAAATGCAGCGGCTCTGGCGTCAGGGCTTACCTCCCAAGGTCCGCGAGGCGCGTGGCGGCACGGCAGCGCGGCGGCGCGGCCCGTTTTCGCACTGGCCAGCAGGTCGTGTGGCCGCTGGCCATTGGCAATGCCGGAAGCTCAAGCAGACTTGCATTCAGCCAGCCTTGTTCACCACCTGGATCCAAATTAGGGATTGTCGTGAGAACTGGTCTTCGGCATGGGGTCTATGTGCGGGTTAGTTTTGAGGAGGACTTCATGGATGTGAGGACCACATGTACGAGGAGGAAACAGGGGTGAACAAGTTGAAATCAAGGGGGTGTCAACAAGGTCACAAATGGAGACTTGGGAGGCCAAAAATTGCCAAAACAAGACTAAGACAAGTATATAGAGCCTTGGGAGGCATAAATTGTGATTTAAAAAGACAGTTCAAGCTCATGGGCTTTACGGTCTGCAAACCTTGGTGGAACACAAAGACTTTCTGAATTTCCCTGAAGAAAACTGTGTCACTGAAAGGTCGGACAGTGAAACACGTTGAATTCCTTTTCGGCACTTTTGCTTGTTCTGCTTCGTTGTTTTCTTTTCTGTGTGCGTGTTTGTGTCTTTTCCTGGGCGTGTGTTGTTTTAAGTAGCTTCTTGCTCCCAGTAGCGATGCCCTTTGTCACTAGTAGTTTCTTGTTACTAGCAGTAAGGCCAGGAGCTACTAGTAGCTTTTGCAACCCCGGCTTGGAGTGAGGATCCACATGTCTTTTGCGGTCTTCGAGTAGCTCGTGCAGGGGCAGTGCAGGGGTGAAGATCATTACATACCATTGGCATGGGGTTGAGGCTCAGGACCTTACGATGATTTTGTTGATGTTCGAAAACCTGCGTTAGGCTCCTTCGAAGGATACGAGTGGAATTGTTCAGCCCTCACCCGGGGAAGGGTCGTGGGGCTTCGTGACGAAAACATCGTCCACTCTGAAATCCCCACCGGGTGGCGGCGGCGGCCATCGCTACTCGGGTGGAGGCAGAGCGGCGGTCCCTGAGGTGCTTCGGATCACTCCAGAGCTTTTTGAGATCTACAGTCGTGGCAAGGAGCAAAGTACAACCTGCATCGCCTTTGTGGGTTGCTCAGCACTGGTCGCCAAGGCAAGGAAATGGTTTGGGAGAAATGCGAAGTGTCTTTTGATAGCCGTCTTTGACTGGGTGCAAAAGTTTGGCCTCGACGATTCGATAGCATCAATCTACTTGTATTGGAAGCCAAGGTTGCCTTTTAGGTGAATTTGTACTAAGGATTTGCCTCGGACCTTCCCAACCTTGGCATTCTTCGATGAGGCTCAAAGTGTTCTGTTCATCATCAAAAATGTCAGCCACTTGCTGAGTTCGGTGGAAAGCAAATTATTAGACTTCGAGCAGGGTTTTTGGCAATGTTCCGCATGGACTATTTTTGAAAGGTTCTTCGATGTTCTTCGGTTCAAGTGTTCATGGGCGATCAGGAACACATGGAAAAGGTGTTCTCCTTTGTTTCACGCCTGCAGGGAGGTCCTTTGCACAAAGATTGCGAAAGAATTCTGGAGGCGAAGAGCTGCATTTTGACATCTCAGAGAAGGAAGTAAAGCCCGTCCAATTACAGGGTGGAGGCCAGCGCTACTAGGGTGAAGGCCATCGCTATTGGTTTGATCGATTTGAGCGAAATACTAATATTACATTGTATTGTATACTACATACATACATACATACATACATGGCTCAAGCCACTAGTGCTCAAGCGGGCACCCCTTGAAGACCCGCTAGTGCACAAGGCCCCACTCGAACATAGCTTTGAGTACCAGGCCACAGCGAGCAGGAACAAGTTCCTTTACAACACATTCTTTGCCCGTTATCTCGACCTGATCTTCCCCGCTCTTGAGTCGATCGACGGGAACTGGCAGTGCTCGCTTGGCTTCAACGTGGACAACCACTTGGGGACTGGTGCTACTTCTCACAGGTACTCACTGGCCAGTCCGTGTTCGGTGCGGTGAACCTTGCCCTCACCGAGAACACCTTCCTGAAAGTCATCCTGCCCTATGACGACTAGCACCCCCACTTCATGGAGCAGAGCTTATGTGGTGTGCCACCATTGCTCAAATTGGATTTGGCAAGACAAACTACGTCCCGACACTCGATGTCGAAAATGTGGCAACTGGTGGCCCTCAGCACGAGCAGGAATCGGCAAAGGCAAGGGTCAGGGCCGACCTCATCGACCTCAAGACAGCTGGCGATCCAGCTCCAAAGATCTACTTGACAGACCACCAGGGCTTCAAAAGCTCAAGCCGCTCAAGAAAACCATGCCCACACAGGCTGCCCAAGAGATCTTAGCCAGCACCTGGGAGGCCATCCCAGCTGAAGCTCAGACCAAACTCCAAACCCTGGGCTTTGGACCACCACCGCAGGAGGAGCCAGGGCTTGAGGCCGTCTTGCAAACCCATCTCAAGGAACTCCCACAGGCAGTCCAGGATGTGGTCAACAAAATGCACCAGCCTATCCCGGACACCGAGAAAGCCCTAGCTCAGAAGCTCAAGACCCAGGTCACCGAGCTCAAAACCATCTCCATGAAGAAAGCACAGCTCCAAGGCCGACTAGATCAGGTCAAGAGCCAGTATGCCAGCATGCTTCAAGAGATGCAGGAACACCAGACCAAGCTCACAGAAGGACAACAAAAGCTCAAGACCTTGTCCGAGCAGTACATGCAGGCAGTCAACAAGACACCACCACCGACAGATCTTGAGGTGACAGATCCAGAGCTACCCATCCCCATGGCAGTTGAAACTTTTGTCACCAGTTTGGGTATCAGCTTGACTGCTGAACAGCGCAGTCAACTCCACGGCCTACTCAAGCGGCCAGGAGGAGAGGTTGAGGACCCTAGCAAGCGTCGGAAAACTGATGCACCAATTTTGCCAGCAGGAGGGGAGTGTGGGTAACAGGACACACCATGGCCACCAGCACTTCCCAGGTTTTGAGGTGTCCATCCCATGGGAAGCAGTTGATTGGACACCATCACATGGGGATTGCCGCGCTGCCTCAAACTCAGCGCACGGGGTCCAGCAGGTGACATGTGCAGGGGACAAGTCACATACACACCTGAACCTTTTTCAAGTACAACCAACTTTAGGGGACGACTCCACCAGGAGTGAAGGGGAGACCACTCTTGCAAGCATGGAGCTCAATACTACAGATCAACACAGGTCTGACAATTTTGTAGCAGCACCTTCTCCGAACCTGCCGCATGGGTTGCAGCTGGGTGCGCCGGGGCCAGCAGTGCTCTCCATCCAAGGAGGACGAAAGCCCAGTAGTCAGGTGAAAACAACCGCCAAGCACAAGGGCAAGATGGAACCGGCCTATGCCACGACAACGGAAGTAATCCTTCAGAACCTCACGATGACGGTGGGCAACCCGAGCAGCAGATGCTATGCCAATGCCCCATGGAGAGCATTTGCTTGGACCTGCGGCTTGCTCCAAGAAACCAACACCCAGCCATGGGGCAATCTCAAAGAGGCGGTCCAGGAGTCTTTAGAGATGGCGGAAGCCGTGGACATTCAGCAGCTTCCAGGCCTGAGACCTATGTGGAAGCAACACGACCTCAACATTGAGGGGGATGCCAACCACTTTGTCAACACGCTCTGGAATGTCCCCCAAACAAGAGCCTTCCACTACAGGTTTGCGGAGATCCAGCCAGGAGGTTACCTCCTCGACCACATCCAGCAACCCATCCTGGTCCCTTTTCCAGATGATGGGCCAGAGGTCACCACTCTCCAAGACCTCTTCAACGGATGGGCGAACACTGGACTAGGGCAATACTTGATGGACGACAAGCCGGTACTGGTCAGCCACCTCACCAGAAACACTACGATCAATGGCACCCCCACAAAACACAGCAAGCTGGTGAATACCTATGGCAGCTTCACCGTTCCCAGATCCCTGGACGGCTTTGCCAGAGCATCCACGGAGTTTGTGCCCGCAGCACTGATTTGCCATCAAGGGAAGAGTCACAACACCGGCCACTACTTCGCCATCCTCATCTATAGGGATTTGATGTGGATAGCTGACGATGGCAAACCGCCAATGCACTTAGAGCATTTGACACCACAGCTGGCCAGCCAAGTCACACAGGTGTGGGCTGTGCACATCGACACCTTCAGGACTCCACAACAGGTCCTCCGATCGCTGCCACCACCTGCAGAGCCGGACTTCGACCCTCCACTACACCCCAGCCCGGAGAAGAAGGCCAGAGTGGCGCAACAGCACAACAATTTGCATTTTGCAAATGTGACACACTTTGGGAGACAGGTACTGGACTGGTACTGGTCACGACAAAGCGAGGTGTACGTGTTGGTTGAAACGCATCTCGATCCACAGCAGCATCAACAGACCTGCCAATATTTTACCATCAGAGGCAGAACAGCCTTTGGCACACCAGCACACCCCAATGAAAGCAACACAGGCACGCATGGTGGCATCCTGGTGTTGGCTGACCCTACGTGTGGACTCACTCCTTTGGAATCCTACACGAACCAAGGCTGCGGCTTTCAAGCATTTCTATGGCAGGCAACAGAGTGCACCATCCTTGTGGCAGGCACCTACATGAAGACGGGTGAAACATTGCAAAGTGATGCCAATGCCACTATCCTCGCCCGCCTCTTGGCCCTGGTTCAGGCTACCAACCACCCCTTCGTTCTCTTGGGGGATTGGCAAAACAGCCCTGGCAGCATCACCAGCACGGTGTTGCCCTCCAAATTCCATTTCGAAGTCCTCTCGCCAGACGTCAGCCTCTTGTCCGGCAATGTCATTGACTATGCCCTGATCCATAACCAGCTGGCCAGCACCACCTCCATCACTACCGACTGGGCTGTACCTTGGAGGCCGCATGCACTCATCTCG